CATTATCATAAATGATTTGAGTTTTATTTATTTATTTATTTATTAGATTATTTAAAAATTAATTTTTAATTTTTAATTTCATAACCCTAAAAATAAATATAAATAAAATACTTAAACCCTAATTTTCAATCAATTTCACTTTCTCTCAACTTTTTCTCTTTTCTAATCTTGTTCTCTCCTTCTTCATCTCAAACTCTCTAATCTTTCTCTTTGGTGGTAGTTGCATCAAAAATCAAATTAGTTGTTACATAGTGAGCTGTGTCATATAATATCATAAAAAAGATTTTTTTTTAAAAAAAATCGAAAGTAAAAGTACCTACTAAAAATCAAAACCAAGTGATCGAGGTACCCTCATCACCATTAGAAGCACAAAAACAGGAACATCAAGAACATCAAATTTCATTCCTAGTTGCTAGTTTGTTCTTAGTCACTAATTTGTTCTTAGTCACTAATTTATTCTTAGTTAATAATTTGTTCCTAGTTAATAAAGATCAATCCGTGATCCAATTTCTTCTTGTATTTGTTTAGATATATTATGGATTTACCTTTTCAACTTTAATATTAAATAGGGTTATAATTTTTATATAATATTCTTTTAAATATTAAATAGAACTGTATTTTTTATATAGTACCTTTATAAATATTAAAAAGGCATTAGATATTAATATATATTGGATTTGTCTTTTAAACTCTAACCTTTCATGCCTCTTTTTTTTAATGAAATTTAATGTTTTTATAAAATTATGAATTCTAAATATTGTATATGCATTCTATATTTGACATATATTTTAATTTCACCTATTTAATTGATAATCTTTTCCTTATCTTTTCTTGAAATTGGAATAAAAATTGAATCATAAAATGAAAATTTGTGTTTAATAAAGTTTTCTAACTAGGTATTTAATTAGTATTAGATTTTGTTAAAAAAAATAGAGAAAAATATAAAAAAATTAATTTTAATTTTAACTTTTTAAAAGTTTGATCCATTGGATCCAATTTAAAACCCGTGTAGGTAAGTCATGAGTCTATCCCTTTAACTCGACATACAAAATGACTCACTCCAAAAAGTTCGAAATATGAGATGATCCAATATGAATCCATCCAAACCGACCTATTTGCTAGGTCTAGCACCCATTAAATATTGCTTGCCATCTACTATTTACAGGGGATGTTATTCACCTCTGGTGTCAACCACAACCACTGAGAAATACCATACAAAGAGAGCTCTCTGAAGTTTGAAGTATCTCTCTAATCATTTCCATTTTCTTTACTCTCTTCCAAGAGTATGAGCAGTGAAATTCGGCAGCTTCATATCTTCTTCTTCCCTTTCTTGGCTTACGGCCACATGATACCGACTGGGGACATGGCAAAGCTGTTCGCCTCACATGGTGTCAAGACAACCATAGTCACCACTCCTCTCAATCGCTCCTCTCTTCTCCAAAACAATTGAAAAGAGCAAGAATTCCGGTGTTGACATGGATATCAAAATTATCAAGTTCCCTTCTGCTCAAGCTGGATTACCGGATGGATTTGAGAGCCTGGAGCCTTCCAAAGAAGTGTGGATGGATGTGATAAGCAAATTTGGCCTGGCCACATCTCTGCTCCAAGAACCCCTTGAGCAGCTGCTTCAAGAATTCAAACCGGCTTGCTTGGTTGCTGATTTTTTCTTCCCTTGGGCTACTGATGCTGCGAAGAAGTTTGGAATTCCCAGGTTGGTGTTTCATGGAACTAGCTTCTTTTCATTGTGCATGACAGAATGCTTGAGACTATATGAGCCATTCAAGAGAGTCGAGTCAGATGATGAACCATTTGTGGTGCCAAATCTTCCTGGAGAAATCGAGTTGACGAGGAAGAAAATACCGGATTTCTTGGTGGAGGAAATTGAAACCGACATGACCAAGATGTTTAAAGCATCCGAAGAATCAGAGCTGAAAAGCTACGGGGTGGTGGTTAACAGTTTTTATGAATTGGAGGCAAGTTATGCTGATTTTTATAGGAATTTTTTGGGAAGAAAGGCATGGCACATTGGTCCTGTTTCGCTCTGCAACAAGGGAATTGAAGACAAAGCAGAGAGGGGGAGGAAGGCATCCATTGATGAAGACGAGTGCTTAAAGTGGCTTGATTCCAAAAAAACCAATACAGTTGTTCACATCTGTTTTGGAAGTATGGCCAGGGTCACTTCTACTCAATTGAAGGAGATCGCAATGGGGCTTGAAGATTCAGGACAAGAGTTCATTTGGGTGGTTAAGTTAGACAAAGGCAATGAAGAAGAGGAACGGTTACCCGAACGATTTGAGGAGAGAACGAAAGAGAAAGGCTTGATAATAAGAGCATGGGCGCCACAGGTGCTGATTCTGGAGCATCCTGCAGTTGGAGGATTTGTGACTCATTGTGGGTGGAATTCAACCTTAGAAGGTATATCTGCTGGTGTGCCAATGGTCACATGGCCCATTGCCGCTGAGCAATTCTACAATGAGAAGCTAGTGACTGATTTTCTTAAGATCGGAGTTGCTGTTGGGGTCAAGCATTGGGTGAGTGTGGTGGGTGATTTCGTAAACAGAGATGAAGTTGGGAAGGCGGTAAAGGCGATAATGGTGGGGGAGAAAGCAGAGGAATTGAGAAGCAGAGCAAAGGCATTTGGAGATACTGCAAAAAGGGCAGTTGAGAAAGATGGTTCTTCTTACTCGGATCTGAATGCTCTGATTCAAGAATTAAGTTTGCATCAGGGTCATTGAACTTGGGAGGGAAACTAAAAGCATAATTTAATGGATGTAGTCATGAGGATGTCACAAATGCTTTATATTAACAACGTTTTTTGTTTCTTTTGCTAGGTTGTTTGTGATGAGTTAATTTTTCTCATATTTTATTGTACTATTATCTAATGATATTTGAATTAGTTTCAGGAGATTTATTTTACATTTTTTTTTTTTTGGAGAAGACATAACTAAAAGATATCAAAATTTTGTGGACTGAATAGTAAAATTTTTCAAAAAGTAGAAGGACGTAATTGCAAAAGAAGAATGTTAAGTCAAGGACCTAGATTACACAATTAAAAGTTTCAGGATCAAGTGTGCAGAAAGTAGAAGTTTAGAGCCCACAACAATTATTTCACCATTTAAAAAATCAGTTAACAGCATGTTTAAATTGAGAGGAAGGCAACTGCTTTGAAGTCTTTTTTTAGGGCAATCTTTGAGGCAAGATAGAGGTAGCAACAAAAGAAGAACAAGACTTGAGATTGCAACTCTCTAAATTGGTTTTCCTTAGACTATTTTCTACGTTGGCAAATACTTTGTTATTCATAATTTATTACTTAATTTTCATTAATTTAGTTAACTAAGCCTAACAATGTATGCTAACTCATTTAATATTTATAAATTTTTATTTTTTTATGTTTTTGAGATTATTATTTTATAATAACTATATATTATTATTTTTAATGCTTTTTAATACTTCATAACTGTTACAATTATTTTGGAGATTGTAATTAAGAGCAAAGAGATATTTTATGCAATAACTTTTAATAATATATAAATATATCATGAATTGAGCAAAGTCTAAAGATAGATTAGCGTGATTCATACTTCATTTAAAAAATTATTGATTTATAATACTATCAAAGTATAAACACATCTAGTATTTTGGGCCTATAATGGGTCATGGATAACAAACTATAATTCATATATATATATATTTAGGAAAATAACTAAGAGACAACTTTTTTTGTCTAATTTTTTATATAACTTTATATGTAATTTGAGATGATGGCTCTTTTCATTTTACTAGGACTTATTATATTTTATTCATTCATTCATTTAATAATTTACAAAAGTTGTATAAAAAATTATACAAAGAGTTGTTTACATATCATTACCTATCTATTCATCATTAATGTAAGTGCACTTGAAAATTTCTACATAAGATAAAAAGGACACTAAGTGGTGTGTGCACTATGATTCAATATATTGTGGAACACATTTATTTAAAAATCATTATTTTCTAATTTGAAATCAAAGGCAAACAAACTAAAAAATGCAATCATGCATACATTATGCAAGAATTGGTTAAATTGGTTGTATTTATATATTTTTTAATAACTAAATTATGACAAATATCAAAAAGTGTGTTGAATCTAATGTGTATTAATTTTGAGATTGATTGAATATATATAACTACTTCTTTAGCATATAGAAAATTTATCATCATTAAATATAAGGTATTCTACTCTTGTAGTCACCAAACTTAAACATAACTTTCATTTTAATCACTCATCCTTCAAATTTGTAAATTTAGTCACTAAACTTAGTTTTAAAGTGAAACCGCTGGTCATTAACTGTTAACGCCCTTATTCCGTCAAGTTCTTCTATGGCGTGGCACCATGTAGACTCCAAATGATCCAAGAGGATTACTTTTCAACCAATAGACTTTAAATGCTTTACAATTAAGTCCAAAATCAAGTCCATCAATAACTAAATTTAGTGAAATGAGCCATATAATATGCGTTAAAATACAGTTCCTTATAGTACGTGTTAAAATACAATTTATAAAATCAGTTTACTAAGTTTTATAATTTAATTCACATTATAACCCTTGTAACTATTTAATCAAGATTAAAACCTCAATTTGATTACTTTTGTTTCAATTTGAATAGTTATGGTGTCTTTCAAGGCAGGTTGTATGCAACTAGAGATTAATCAACATTAAAAACTTAATTTCATTATTACAATTCCATTTCCAAGGAAAAAAAATTCATTAGTTCTTTGTAATGCATTTAATGATTATCAAGTAATATTATAATTATTTAGCTTTTTGTGACTAAATTTTGAATAACATATTCACACAGTTATAGCTAATTAAATGTTATATTATATTGCAATATAATGTGTCGCTATATTACTTGTGTTTAAAATAACTACTTGTATTTTTTTGTTAATGGCTAAAAATAACTACTTGTGTAGTTATATCACGTGATATTTTAAACTTATAATATGATATATCATTATATATTTGACTTTTTTAACTTAGGGTTCACTTGAGATATTGTATGTATTCATTTATTTAATAACATATTATATTATTTAATGCCACATCATGATACTAGATTTACAATTTCACATGATGTTGTAACCATAACATTGTTGTTAGTTTTTTTAATTAAGTAATAATAAAATTTAAGATTCTAGTCTTGTTTAATTAATACATTAATTTTATAATATTAATTAAATAAATTAAAAAATTAATATACTACTTTTGATAAATTGTATTCTAACCCATGAGGGCTCATTTGACTAAATTTAATTATTGAGGGAATTGATTTAGGACTTAATTAAAAGGAATTGAAAATTTATTGATTAAAAGGAAATTATATTGGACCGGATGGGGTGTATACTGTGTAATGCCACGTTATTAAAAAATTTAACGGAAAAAGGGAGTTAATGGCCAGTGGCTACCTGTGACCCTTTAAAACTAAGTTGAGTGACTAAATTTATAAATTTGAATGGTGAGTGATTAAGATAAAAGTTGTAGTTAAGTTTAATGAGCAAATGTGTAGTTTACCCTTCAATATATATTAGAAAATATAAGTTTCTTGATGAAATGATTATAAATGTTAGATCAATTTGAAAATCAATATGTATAATCTATATCAATAGAACATTAAATCTATTAGTGGTTTTTGCAAGTAATCCTAGTAAGGTAATTTTTTTTAAGTTAGGACTTCAATTTTTATATAAAAGTTGAAATTAATATACATTTTTTTCAATATATATTAATCGATTTTTAAATCTAAGTATCAACATTTAATAAGGTAGATTTTTGAATTTTAAATTGGATTTTAATTAAATGAAATAATATTAGGACACAAATTTTTTTAGGTAATCGAAACTGATGTATACTATTCTATATAAATATGGGCACAATCCTTCCAGATAACAATTAACAAGCAAAGATAACAAACATAAAGATGTATTTGGGATAAAGAATTATTGGTATACATTTAATTTAACATACTTTCTAATACTCATTCAACTTAGCTATTGAAATATAATATAAATATAAGCTTATTCAGTTAGTTTTTACATCATATATATGACTACATTTTTTAGTTTGTATGCCTTTAATAATGATTTTTTAATAAATTTGTTTTACAGTATGTTAAACTAAAGTGAATATCAATCAATATCCATTTGGAATTTTCACCAAAAAATAAAAAATAAAAAATATGTATTTGGGATATCAACTTTCAGAAGGTGCTTCGTCATTTACTTAAAATAATTCTAGAATGGCAAAATTAATTATAGTGATAACAAATAGAACACTGATAGATACACTTTATAATTCAATATATTGAATAACACACTCTTTAACTCTATGTTTGTGTTAAGAAGAATGGAGGCGAGGGGAAATTTTTCCCTTTGCTCCCCTCCATTCCTTTTCCCTCCATTTTCTTCATTTGGATAAATAACTAAATTATAAGAAAAAAATTAAAGTAAAAGGAATTTTTTCCCTCCCCTCCCCTCCCTCCATTTCCCTCGATCCAAACTACTATAAGAAATGATTATTTTTAAATTTAAATTAAAAGTGGTAAAAATTAAAATTACATATTTTAATGGTTGAATCGATAAATATTGTCAAGTGCATTTAACTGAAAGGTGATTAATAATTTTCCTAACAAATATCCTTAGACTAAATGGGAAGAAATCCAAAATGAATTACTATAACAACAAATATTCTTGAACAAAAAGGAAAATAGACAATAATGGTATAGATATTTTTGGTCAAAAATATTTGTTACCATAACAATTGATTTTGAATTTTTTTTGGCCATTTTCCTATACCAGCCACTTTTGTTGCCTTTAAGTCGTCTAGAATTCCTTGTACCTTTCAATTTGCGCTCCATCTCCTCTTTACACACATTGTTCAAGTCTGGTGTTAACCACAATTACTAGAAAGATTACTACTACACAAAGATTTCTCTTTAACATCTCTAATAATTTTTTTAATCATTTTCATCATCTTTATCTTCTTCCTAAGGACTCACTATTCATCTCTTTTTCCCCAAGATTATGGGCAGCAAAACGCCACAACTTCACATCTTCTTCTTCCCTTTCTTGGCTCAGGGCCACATGATACCATTTGTGGACATGGCCAAGCTGTTTGCTTCACGTGGTGTCAAGTCAACCATAATCACCACTCCTCTCAACGCTCCTCTTTTCTCCAAAAAAATTGAAAGGAGCAAGAATTCAGGCATGGATATAGATATCAAAATCATCAAGTTCCCTTATGCTCAGGCTGGATTATCTGAGGGAATTGAAAGCATGGAGCCTTCTAAAGAAATGGGGTTGGATAAGATAAGCCAATTTTTCTGGGCCACTTCTCTGCTCCAAGAACCGCTTGAGCAACTGCTTCAAGAATTCAAACCAGATTGCTTGGTTGCTGATATGTTCTACCCTTGGGCTACTGATGCTGCGAAGAAGTTCGAGATTCCCAGGTTGGTGTTTCATGGAATTAGCTTCTTTTCATTGAGTGCATCAGCGTGCATGGCATTATATAAACCGTACAAGAAAGTCGAATCAGATGATGAACTATTTGTGGTGCCAATTCTTCCTGGTGAAATTAAGTTAACGAGGAAGACTCTGCCGGATCACGTGACGCAGGGGGTTGAAAACTTCTTTTCCAAGTTGTTCAAAGCGGTCGGAGAATCAGAGGTAACAAGCTACGGAGTGGTCGTCAACAGTTTTTATGAATTGGAGGAAACTTATGCTGATTTTTATAGGAATGCTTTGGGAAGAAAGGCATGGCAGATTGGCCCTCTTTCGCTCTACAACAGGGGAATCGAAGATAAAGCAGAGAGAGGGAGGAAAGCATCCATTGATGAACAGGAGTGCTTGAAGTGGCTTGATTCCAAAAAACCCAACTCAGTTGTTTACGTATGTTTTGGAAGTACGGTCAACTTCAGTTTTGCTCAATTGAAGGAGCTTGCGATGGGGCTTGAAGCTTCAGGACAGGAATTCATTTGGGTGGTTAAGTTAGACAAAGGAAATGAAGAGGTGGAATGGTTACCCAAAGGGTTTGAGGAAAGAACGAAAGGGAAAGGCTTGATAATAAGAGGATGGGCACCACAGTTGCTGATTTTGGAGCATCAATCAATCGGAGGATTTGTGACTCATTGTGGGTGGAATTCAACCTTAGAAAGTGTGTCTGCTGGCGTGCCAATGGTCACATGGCCGATTTTTGCTGAGCAATTCTACAATGAGAAGCTTGTGATTAATGTTTTAAAGATTGGAGTTGCAGTTGGGGTTAAGCAGTGGGTGTGGGTGGTAGGGGATTTTGTGAACAGAGATGCAATAGAGAAGGCAGTGAAGGCGATAATGGTGGGGGAGAAAGCAGAGGAAATGAGAAGCAGAGCAAAGGCATTTGGAGAAATGGCAAAAAGGGCTGTTGAGAAAGATGGTTCTTCTTACTTGGATTTGGATGCATTGATACAAGAATTAAGTTTGCGTCATAGTCGTTGAACCTAAGAAGAAAAATAACAACAGATTTCAATGTATGCAGTCATGAAAATGCCACAAATGCTTTAATTCAAGAATAATCTTTTGTTTTCTTTTACTAGGTTGTTTGGAACTTGAATTAACAAATTAAATCTTCAAACGTGACTAACCAGCACCTCTTTTTGGCTTGCGACCACACTTCTTGCCGTATCACTTTTCTCAAATATTAATTATTTGATTGATTTGGCACGTTTGAATATTTGGGAATTTTATTTCCCATATTTGGCAATTTCCTTTCCAATTTCACCATATCTGGCAAACCAAACAAAAGCCCTTACAATCCAAAGGTTGAATCTCTTGTAAATGAGTAAAGGTTCCATAAAGGATGTCAACTTTACAACTTTTTCTATTTAATGATATTAACTTTATTAATTCTTAAATAAGGATGTGAACTTTTAATATTTTATATTTACAGATGTTAACTTTTAATTTTTTCTATTTAAGGATATCAACTTTAAATTTTTTCTGTTTAAAGATTAATTAAATAATGATGCTAATATGATAAATGAATTTTTTAACTGAAATATTAACAGTTAGAGTCCTTAAATAGAAAAAGTAAAAAGTTAAAAATTGAAAGTTGATATTCTTAAATAGAAAATATTGAAAGTTGACATTTTTATTTAAAAATTGATAAAATTAATATCCTTAAATAAAAAAATTATACAGTTGATATCATTTTTTGCACCTTTACTCTCTTGCAAAAAAATGTTGTTTTATAAATTTGATTTATAATTTATAATTTAGAATTAATATTTAAAAAAATTAATTTTTTAAAATATACCGAATTACTATGGGAATTCATATTTAAAATCACTAATGTAGTAATTAATTTTAAAATACGTAAAAATTTGTTTAAGTGCATTCTAACAGTGAATATAAGGAAAAAAATTTTAAAAAAATAAAAACACCAAACCCTTACCATTGCAAAATTGCAATAACACTATAAGTCTATAACAGAGCATGAGAGCTTACCGAATTATGAAGATTGATCTCTTGTTGGTCTTCTTGTACTTCATTCATGTACGATGTACTTCATTCATGTACGATGTACTTCCAATCTCCGATATCATTGCAACTTACAAATTAATATTTGAAAATCTCTTACCTGAATTTTTATTGGGTTAAAGCCAATTATAGTCCCTCTACTTTTAATTTTTGTTTATTGACCTCCTTGTACTTGTAAATTATTCAAAGTCCTCTCTCTATTTTTTCAAACCATACTATTGTCCTCCTTCTACTTTAATTTTCCATTACATTTACCCCCCCCCTAACACTAATACCTCTCTCCCTTAACACCATTATCTCCCTTAACATTGTTACATTTACAACCCTATTTTGGGAGTGGTTATGGCTACTGTTAAAAGTGTTATAGCCACACAAATATGCCTTACTTTTCCTCATGAATTAACTTTCTCAATCCAATGCCACCACATCATCCATTCATAGTTTATTAGTAACCTTTTAATGGAGCTTTGTCAGTGCAGGTGTGTTGAAAATGCTAGTGAAACCATATAACAAGAAGAAATTAAAACATTCTCATATTAAATGCCAATGAAATTAAAGAAAATGAAACGTTTTGACTTTAAAAAAATTAGTGCATTTAATCATAATTATTAATAATATTAGAAAGCCCTTATTTTTTTTTTCCATGGTACCAGAATATTAAGACTAATGGTCTAGATATCAATATTACCCAAAAAAAAAAAAAAAGTGAGACTGTTTCTTTTTTCAGAAAAGGATTGTGAATGTGAAATAAGTTTTGAAGTTAAAGAGTAGATGATATTGCCTCACCTAACTTGCAACTATCGAAAGGCTCATCAAGAGAAGGAATTGTGCTTTCGTGGACAATAATATAAACCCGGTGTTAATGACAATTCATCCAAATGACTTTTGAAAAGCTAAGGAACAACTGTCCTATAACTATCAAAAGGTTCATGATGCCATCAAACAAGGCTCATCAAGATGAGCTTTGAAAGCTAGAGAGTGGATCCTAGTGCCTTACTTGAATACTTATCCTGCAACTGTTAAAAGGCTTATCATAAAAGGACTGTGCAAGGTAAAGCAATCAATTTCTATTTACTTGATCTATTGTTCTTGACTTTTTCTCACATACCCCTTCTCTTTCTCTACTTTGCTTCACCAACATGGAGATGAAATTTGATTAGTTCCATATCATGTTTTTCACTCTAATGGCTCTAGGCCACATCTTCTAATTTTAGACCTAGCCAAGCTCTTTTGCAGAAAGGGGAGTTAAAATTACTAGAATCACAACCCCTCCCAATGCCCTTCTCATCATTAAATCGATCCAAAGTAATGAAAACGTTTCCACCTCCAACATCAACCTCAAAACCATCCAATCTCCAACAAAGGAAGCTGGTTTGCTAGAAGGTGTTGACTATTGTTCCTTGAACACTCTCCTTCATCTCCACATCATGTTATTGTTGTGCCTCGATCACAAAATCGAATAAAATAATAATTAGTGGACTTATTAAGAAATATCGATAAAAAAATATCATCGAAATATGCATGAAAAGCTTACTTTAAGGCGATTCATGCCTCTGTGGAGAGTAAATCAACTGATGCAATAGAGATATATATAGCATGTCGCCCCCAGAATGCCATAGCTTTATAATAATACTCTATGAATCTGCATTATTCATAGAATCACCTAACTCAAAAACATCCTTCTTTACCCAAAAATATTTAGAAGATAAAATAAGGAAAGAAAAATAGAAGAATGTGGAGGAACTCCCTTTTTGAGTAAATGGACATGTCCTATTTATATGACTCATAATCTTGTAACTCTCATTTGTAGGTTAATGATAGGAATAAATTGAGAAATTATTATGTAATAATGTGTCCTTAAGTAGGACAATTAACTTACAATGGCTAGTTTGACAAAGTCTTTAATAGGACAATAAATTCAATTTATAAAATATATTATTTTATTTTTTATTAAAATGTTTAAGTTCCAACAATTCCTCCACTATTTTAATAAAAAATAAACCTTCTTTTGGGCAAAGTTGGATTATTATGCATAATAGTGAGTCAACAATTCTTAATCAAAAGTCAATAGTGAACTAAGTCTTGAACTATGACCCCATTAAAAGATACAAGAATTGTATCACACACATAATGATCCAAATGTTGAGTTTTTCACATAGCTGGCGCATTATGACCTTTCGCATGATCTTGGTTTTCATGGGTGATCTAGAAAATTACCAATCCAATTTTCATAGACACGGCCCCACTTCGACACCCACATAGGTGAAATTTGTCAAGAGTGCTCCCATAACTAAGACACCCCACTCAATGAGTTACAAATTTCATTAAGAGTATAAAACTCAACCCTCAATTCGTTATGGGATGGATGCATCCTCACCTTAGGAATTGGACCGAAAATTTTTTCCATTAATATTGATGCATCTTTCAACAACAACTTGTCTATGATTTGTTTTTCCCATTTAAAACCCAATTCTCAGAATTCAAGTTGGGTATCCTCATAGGAAGTTCTATATCATTGGGCTTGAAACTCATTCCCCTTAATGAGCACAAGACCTTGGACTATGATCATAGATTTTCCTCCAACTTTTGTTTTTACCAAAGGCCTAGTTAGTGGTAAAGTGGGTAACAAAAAGATTTAACTCATGCTTTTTCTCACTTTTTCTTTTTACATCAACCCACACGTCTACTAGCTCATATTTACATTCATATATCTCAAATTCTCAATTCATGGTACCAAAAATTTTTATATCAAATCGAGCTAGTGAACCACTCTTTTCTTTCCATACATGTAAAGACATGTATTTAAGAATTTTTTAACTCAAACACCATCGTACCTTATTGTACAATAGGAATGTCCATCACATACCCCTTTTATCAAATGCCTTATTATTTTTTTCCATCATATACCATTATACCATAATTGTATAATGGGAATGCATGTCACATTTACTTTGTTAAGCACCAATATACCTTATTGTATAATGGGAGTACACTTCACATTTGCTTTGCTAAACACCATTATACTTTATTGTATAATAGGAATACTATACAAAATTTCAATTAGGCACAATTGGTCTCATCACCAATAACAATACATAGGGATATCATAATAATCCTCCACATTGGGAACATCTCAAATATGTGATTTTCACATTTCTCAAATAATTGAGTTCATGAAGAAACTCATTTACTCACAAAATTTCATAAGAACATATTAGCTCATCTCACATTTTGTCACCACAAATGGCTCTCTAGTCACGTAAGCTTAAAAAGTTTAACTTACGTTTTCGGAATATATCAACCCAAAGCCTTTTTTCACTTTGGTTCTCAAAAACTTTCACCTATTGCATCAAAGAATTTAATAATATGGTCAATTAAATTCACAAAACTATTCATAAATTTTTTTCCTTCATAGCTATTGGAAATGAACCAAATATTTATCATATGCATTAAGAGCAAACGGCTAGCTTATTATTCTTATAAATATAGCCATTATAGCACTAGTAATGGCCAAAATGCAACATTAATCTATTAAGTAAGTAGCACTAATTTAATATGTAATTAATACCAATGGCTAATAATATGAAGTGCTGATCATAAGGTCCATAACCGTTCGTATGTAATTAAGTAATAAATTACCATTGCATATAACCTATGAACGGCCATGTATCTTTATGCCAAATTGATCACAAATTCATATATGTATCAATGCATGTATTATGGGAGACATTAAAATTGCATGTACAACGTCTTAACATTTTTTTTTTTTACCGTCCACATGCCATTAAAAATAAATAGCCAACCATTCAAGTATGTCCCAATAATTAGATTAGGATCCAGGATCTCATACCTATTTTGAGGCACCTACAACAAATAATAGTTTGCTTACACAATGTAGTATACATTTCAATTTTGCTTTGCATATTAATTTGCCTTAAAATTGTTGTTCCTCGAACACTCTCCATCTCCACATCATGTTATTGTTGTGCCTCGGTCACAAGATCAAATAAAATAATAATTAGTGAATTTATCAAGAAATATCGTTAAGAAAATATCATCGTAATAGGCGTGATCGTAATAGGCGTGAAAAGC